ATCACTAGCCACTAACACCATGGACTGGTCAATCAGCATCGCATAAAGCCGATTTAGTGGAAAACTGACCATCACGTGTAAATTTTAATACACAAAATTATCCATTGGTTTTTGAGGGCGATTAGTAAAGAAAATATGGGAAGCCGTAATATTGTCAAATAACCTATGGACCTTAGAACTATCCCACGCATAAGAATGCAGATCAATAATAGAAGAAACATGAGTTGGAACATCCGACTCACCTAAACCATATTTGAAGGAAACCGGCCCTCTAGGGCCCAAACATCCTCGAGGAGACGAACTTGAGTCCCCAAACTTACTTTCCCCGCAGTCCCCTGAGCTAGAGTGGATATGACATCCAAAAGACCTCTATACCCCCAGGAAGACCGTAAAACCTGACTCGGCTGGAAAGAAAGAAGGGAGGAATACTTCGCTGATAACACACGCAAAACTAGAAGCTGAGGATGACGATATATAGGCCAACTCTTCTTGGCAAGCAGCGCAAAATTTAAGCTCTATAAACTACGAAGCCCTAGTCCACCCAATCCTTTAGGACGATGAAGCAGAGAAAAGGGGCGAAGGGCCATCCTGATGAGTCTATTTTGTATATATTTTTATTATTCCTCGTCCCACGGTCATATTTATGTTTATTTGAGCTATACGGAGCTATTTTTATTACTAATATACATTTTCTAATGTTTTTGTATAGTTGATATTATTTTGTAGGAATTTGCAGATTATGATGATTCCTTAGCTTGTTGAGCCACTATGAAGCATTAGAGTCGGATTGTATTTTATTATCAAATATTTTAAACCCTAGAATGTTCATGTTACGAGTATATGGACTAAACAATTATGACGATCCAAATTACTTGAATGAATAAGAGGGATTTTAGGGCCTAAAGCAAACGAAAGCCAATCCCAAGTGATTAGCTATTGTGCATGAATTAAAAAGGCAGGCCTGATTGGGTGGCCTAGTGTTTGATCGGCCATGAGAGTAGAATGTCGGCCATTTTAGAGTTTTATTCCTAATGGGATTTGTAAAAGCCCATTGCTTGGTTATAAAAAGGGGGGAGTTGCTGGTTTTGCGACCAGCGATAGGTACCTGGTCCTACACTAAAAAAATGCACATTTACTAGAAAGAAAATGAACATTTAATAAAAATGAACATTCTCTCGAAAAAAATGAACATTTAATAATTGAACATTGTATGATATAAAAATGAACATTTATAATATAAGAATAAAAAAAAGAGACTATAAAACATAAAAACACAAAAAAAAAAAAAAAAAAAAAATTGTATATCTGTATTATATAGTTGAACATTTCAATTTTTAATAAAAATACCCAACAAAAATTAAAGGAAAATGGTCAAACCGCATAAATCAAACAAACCTGGAAACCAAAAAATTGCTTCAATTTCAACAAGAGAAAAGAGGTAAAATCAATAATACAATCTTTACAATCTTCCTAATTTGAACATGGAGGGGCAGTGCGTCTTTGCGGGGCAAGTGTGAGCTGATATGTCCAATTTATATAGTGTTTTACCCCCGTCCCATGGTCATAATTAGTAGTGTTTTTGGCTCTTTAGAGCCACTTTTATCACTAATTAGTGTTTTCTAGTGTTTTTGTAGCTTTGCTTGAGTTTTGTAGGAAATTGCACATTTAGAGCGTTTTCCGAGTTTTTGCACGAAGCAACTACAAGCATTAGGAGGAAACGACCGTCTTTGAAGCCTTGGAACGGTTAGAGCCGGTGATTAAAGGTTCGGTATGTGATACTGGGGCATATGGATCGAGTATTCAAGACCCAAAGAGGAAATTCGAATTGGGCCGAAGAATCGAGCCCAATCGAAGTCCAAGCCTCGAAGAAGAAGTCGGGCCCGATCGGGCAAGCTTGTGCCCGATCGGGCAGGAACGCACAAAGAAGCAGCACCAAGAAGGCGCGCCTGATCGGGTGAGCGTAAGCTCGATCGGGCGCGGCGCATCAGGAAGGGCGAAGGAAAAAAGGCAGGCCCGATCAGGCGGCCCTTCGCCCGATCGTGCGCGTGTTTTAGGAAGACCTGATTGTCGAGATTGTTAGTTTTCATTTAGGATTTGTTTTAGGGATGTTTAAGTACGATTTTTGTACGTTATTTTGATTACCTTCTTTTTTAGATTTTCTCTCTCTACTTAGAATATTTTCTCTCTTACATTCTCTCAACTTTGTTCTTAACTCCATTCCTTAATCCAGATTTCTTTTGGGTAACAATTTCTTCTCTTTTAATTTTAGTTATTTTCTTTTATTCTTTCATCATGTCTTGATTTATTGTTTTGATTAGTTTAGATTTAATTATGCTTGAGTATTTTTATTTCTAGGGTTTATGGGGATCTAATAAATAATATGAAGGGGTAATTTGTGATTGTTGATTATCAATGCTTGATTAATTTCCTATTGATTGATTTAATGTTATGCAATTAGGTTTGGCCAGATTTAATTGTATGAATTAAGCAATATTAATTCGAGATTCGACAGATGAGAATTGATGTTTAAGCTTAGTTTCAATAGGCGAATTAGTTTATAAATGGTTAAGTCGAGATTCGAGAGATGAGATTTAATACCAGTAAATTAACTCTATGATTATAATACGTAGCGAAAGCCCTTTATGATCTTACTAATTGATGCTTGATGATTGTTTATTATGATTTGCCCTGGAATATTGTTTATTAGTGAACCTATGCCCTAGGTTTTCCCTTCATTGAATTATACCCTTTTTACTCCCTTCCTACTCTTACCTTTTAGTATTTAATTACCTTTTTACAACAATTTGTACTTGATAATTTAGATTGCATTTAATTAATTAGGAGTAAATTGACTTGTTTCCATGTGGTTCGACCCTTCTTCCCTATCTACATAGTTAGTGGATTTAGGTTTTATTTTTGATTAGGTGAATACGACTTGAGCCTGTCAAATTTTGGCGCCGTTGCCGGGGAAATGGTTTTATTTTTATTTTCTGATTATTTTTTGTAGTCTAGATTATCCCCTCTTGTCTCAAAGAACGTTAGTTCTTTGAGACAATTCTTATATTTGTCTTTTAGTTCCTTGTTTATGCCCAGGTGTTCCATATCAGGTAACATTCCATTCGATCCTGAGATCGAGCGCTCGTTTCATAGGCAAAGGAACCTTTATAGACAAATTCTAGCGGGTTTTGAGGAAGACAACAATCGAAGAGACCCTCTCTCTGATTCTAGCGACGTAGAAATTCCTTCAGATTCAGAATCAGAGATGACGGCCTAAAAGAAGCTCAGTGACTACTCGCAGCCGAAGCTCACAGATTTCCCGCACCTTACTCCCACTTCGGCTCTAGATGGAGTTCAATTTAAGATCTAGCCCCAATTTATCACTATGATAGAGAGGAAGCAATTTAGTGGAGCTAAGGGTGAAGATCCCAATCTTCACATTGCAGATTTCTTCTTGTATTCTAACACCATTAGACAAGCCGGGGTCACGCAGGACCAAACCAGGGAGATACTTTTTCCCTTTTCATTATGTGGCAAAGCTAAATTATGGTTTAAAACTCTTGCTTTTAATTTCTATAATAAATATTAGCCTGTAGAGAGAACAGCTGTACTAAGTAGTGCTATTTAGAACTTCGCTCAAGAGGCCAACGAAACTTTATACGAGGCTTGGGAGAGGTTTAAGGATCTACAGAGAGAATTCCCCCACCACAATCTATCACAATGGCAATTGATCCAAGCTTTCTACAATGGACTTGGAAATTCATCTAGATCAGTTCTAGATTCTGCAGCTAGTGGGAGATTCATGAATTTAAATGTGGACGAAGCAGGACAGGTTATTGAAGATATGGCAATACACAATTCCCAATACGGGAATCCGAGAGGGTTTGCAAATAAAGGAAAACATAATGTCGATTCCGTATCCTTTTTGCAAGCTCAATTAACGTCTATTTGTTAAAAATTAGATAATATTACTACTACTCCTAACTCTGTAGCTAATGTTTCTGCTGTTGCTAACAATGAAGCTTTTTGTGAAAATTGTGGAATTGTAGGGCATTGGGAGCAATATTGTAGGAGTTCCATGGAACAATTTAATGCCTTCCAAACCTATAGGCAGAATAACCCATATTCCAACTCTTATAATCCTGGTTACTAGAACCATCCATATCTTTCGTACCGGAGTACCAATGTACAAAAGCCTCCACCTCCACAACAACCACAACAGCAACCCCCACCACAGCAGAAATATTACCATCCAAATTTTTGCCAGAAAAGCCATGCACAACCCTTATCATCTTCTGACCCTGCCATGACAGAAATTAGAGCAATGCCTACTAATATGCAAAAGCATATGGAGAGTAGGGATGCGCAAATTGATTCTATTTTAGCCCACAATAAAATCATGGATAATCAAATTGCACAACTTTCATCTACCCTACAATCCCGTTAGCAGGGAGCTCTACCATCACAACCTATCCATTCTACAGATCATGCCAATGCAATCACTCTAAGGAGTGGTTCACATTATGATGGACCTCGTATGCCAAATGAAGACGGACCAGTTCCTGATCCAGATTCCTCTATACCAAACGCTAATCCTGCTAACCCTGCAGGGCTACAAACAGATACTAACCCTTCTAATGTTTCTTTGCAGGATAAATCTCAGGATAAGGGATGAGATGTGTAGAGCCCGGTTATCAAACTAACCCATTCTGTTGGTGATGATAATGTTACTTTTAATATAGGGAACGTTTTGAAAGGGCCTATGCTAGAGGAAAATTGTTGTTATATTGATGTAATTGATATAATGGACAATATTTGTGATGATAGCTTGCCACAGGTTCTTGCAAGGGATCCCCTGGAGGAAATTCTTTGTGGGAATTTATCTACAGATAATGCAAGCGTATGGGGTAATGAATTATAGGATATTGAAAGTGCTCTTTCCTTAAAAGAGTTAGACCCCAAGGAGACAATGAAGGTAGTAAATTTAGTTCAGGAATCGAAACCTGCAGAGGTCAAGAAACCTGAACTAAAACCTCTCCCTTCTCATTTAAAATATATTTTTCTGGATGAACATGAACTATACCCCGTGATCAACAGTACTGCACTTAATGACCTACAAACTTCCAAACTTCTAGGGGTTCTTCAAACCCATAAGAAAGCAATTGCGTACAATATTGATGATCTTAATTAGAATATCAATGGCTATTTGCTGGGTTTCGGCATTCTTCGGGTCTATAGCCCACGATCCATCTGCATTACGAGTTTGACGGGACAAAATCCAATAAAGAGACCGATTTTTAAGCTTTTCACTCGCTACACAGCTTGTCGTGGACTCTGTGGTGCTTGAGGTTGAAGATTCTGCTGGAATTCTATTGGTCTTACTCCAATCAACTCGAGCCCTCTCATAACTCTTGGAGCCTAGATGGTGGCGATGCTTATTCTTCTTTGCATTTTCCTTGCCTTTTTCACTCAGAGCCTATTACAAAATGGAAAGCTATTGTAAGTAGTATTGTAGTTGAAATAAAGTATATATGTGAAAAATACTTACATAATATCTTACATACCTTAAATTCATCTGTATTGCAATATGTCTTAAACTTTTTCCATTGCTCTTCTGTGATGTAACCTTCATAAAGCTCCCAGGGCTTAATGTTTGCACTTGGTGAGTCATGCGGAGGTGCAGTTTCCTTAGTAATGAATCGTGAAACTAACCAAGACTTGTGCTTCCAAAATCTAGCACCAACAGCTTCGTGGAACTTCTTCTCTTTACTACCCTTGGGATCATCAATGTGGAACTTCCGCTACAAAATTAGAGAATCTTAAGTTTCATAATTAATTATAAGTATCGTTAAATTTAGAGCAATAAACCATATTTATATCGTAGAGGAACATGGGTGTAGTTGTTTGGACTGCTCTAGACGGACCTCGTCCCTGTTTTGTAGAAGATTTTACTTGGGAAGTGGAGGCATCCATGTCACCAGATTGTTCCTGTCCATCATGATCATCTATGTTTTCTTCCATTGTAGTATGCCTACACCTACACAAATAATGAAATTAACAAGAACAGAATCAAAATCATAAAAATAAAATCATATTAATGTAAATACTATACAATAAAGAAATTAATGATTTAGATATATACCAATTTAATAAATTTAATATTAATTGCAAAAAAATACTATTGTTAAAGGAATACAATAACACAAACCTTGGTTGTAGTTATAGGAACCACTAACACTTCCTCACGATCATACTCTACGTCATCAACAATATCTTCCCCTTCTTGTAGAGGTTGCACTTCCATTATTATAGGCGGAATGTCATCAAATTGGTCATTCTCTTCTTCATCCACAACATCTTCCACACCCACAATTTTTCTCTTGCCTTCAACTACAACACGCCATTGCGGATCTATATTATCCTTGATGTTGAATACTTGTTTCGATTGTGAGGCTAATACAAAAGGCTCTTCACCATCAGTATAACGACTAGAGTCAACCAAGGTGAATCCAAATAACTCATCAATTTTCATACCACGACGGTTATCAGCCCATGTGCAACGAAATAAAGGAATTGTGAAATCACCATAATCCAACTCCCAGATTTCTTGAATGACACCGTAATATGCCTGTGTAGCTTCAACTGGCCTTTTATCCCTAGAACTTGAGTATTCAGTAGAAGATGCAACCACGATAACAACACTATTTTGTTGCACACTTTTTTCATCTTGACGACAAGTGGCAAAAGTAAATCCATTGATATCGTAACCCTCATAAGTATACACAAGTGGTTGTGGACCTCGTGAAAGCCACTTGATCATTTCAGAAACATTCTCATCTCTACTCAATTCAAGCTTCACTTGGCCTTCAAACCACTCAACAAAGTGGAGATTATGCTCCTGCATCAACGCATAGGAGCTGATCCTGGGATTGTGAATTTTCAACTCATGAAGATATTTTTCAATATATGGATGAACTGCAGATAGGTTTTGTAGCACAAATCGGTGGGCTGTCTTATATCGATCAAGTGGAGGTTTAACCAATTTCCGACCTACTGTACCCTTTCCTTGAAGTCTTCCCTCGTGACGAGTAGTCGAAATCCCAATTTCTTTAGCCTTAGCTAAAAACACTGAACAATAGTTCCCTGCTTCCTCTGCAATGCATCCTTTCACGATGCTCCCTTCAGGATTTGCTCTGTTCTTTGCCTTATCTGCCAAAGTACCCATTTTCCTCTCATAAGGGTACATCCAACGCATAAATACAGGACCACACTCCTTTATCTCATGAGGAAAGTGCATAACAAGGTGAGTCATTATGTCAAAAAAGGAAGGAGGAAAATACATCTCAAATTTGCATAATGTTTCAACAATATCATATTCCATATCGTCGAGTTTTTTTGGATCTATCACCTTACTACAAATTGCATTGAAAAACAAGCAAAGCTTCACAATAGCATGCCTAACATGTTTTGGCAAAAGGCCTTGGAGTGAAATTGGCATGAACACTTGCATCATCACATGACAATCATGGGACTTCATACCAACTACTTTCTTATCAATAGTAGAAACAAAACGCCTTATGTTCGACGAATACCCTGTCGGCACCTTGATTCCTTTCAAACACTCACAAAAGATTCTTTTTTCTTCTCTAGACAATGTATAACACGCATAGGGCAAAAATTCTTTTTTCGTTGCTTCATTATCCTCAGGCCATAACTTAGGTCGAATTTTGGCTTCCTTCATGTCTCTACGCACATTATCACCATCCTTTGTCTTCCCTTTGATATTCAACAAAGTCCCAATTAGTGCCTCACAAACATATTTTTCAATGTGAATAACATCAAGACAATGTCGAACCGACAAGTCCTTCCAATAAGACAGATCCCAAAACTTAGACACTTTTTTCCATAACACACCCTTCTTCGATATCTCTCTGTGCATCTTACCGAAGATTGTCTTAACATTTTTAATTTTCTCATACACTTCAATTCCTGTCAATGGCTCACGACTCACTCCCTTCTCAACATGCCCGTTGAATTGTTATCTCATCTTCCTGTATGGGTGATTTCGACGAAGTGATCGTCTGGTATGCATGTACACATTCTTCCCCCAATGCTTCAAGCGTGTAATTTGCATGTCATCCTCACAAATAGGGCAGGTTTTTGTCCTCTAACTTTGTACCCTGACAAATTTCCATATGCAGGAAAGTCATTTATAGTACAAAACACCATGGCTCTTAATATGAAATTTGTACCCGAAAGAGCATCAAATGTCACAACACCTTCATCCCACAACAGTTTCAAATCGTTAATAAGGGGCTCCAAATAAACATTTATCTCATGGCCAGGTTGTTTAGGACCTGGGATTAGAAGTGATAACATGATGTACTTGCGCTTCATGCATAACCAAGGAGGTAGGTTGTATGTTGACAAAAGAACAGGCCATGTACTATGTTGACTACTAAGAGTGCTAAATGGATTCATCCCATCCGTACTTAATGCCAGTCTTATGTTCCTCGGCTCCTTCCCGAATTCTAGAAATTTCTCGTCAATGTATTTCCATTGAAACGAATCAGCTGGGTGTCTGATAAACCCATCCTTCTTCCGCTCATTTTCATGCCAAACCAACTTCTTTGCTTCATCCTTAATTGAGAACAGGCGCTTCAACTTTGGTATTATAGGAAGATACCATACTACCTTAGCTGGTGGCCACTTCAAGGGATCCTTATTTAATCCCTCTCGCTTGTATCGTGACACACCACACTTTGGGCAAGCATCCAATTTTGCATTCTTCTTTCGATATAGCACACAATCATTAGGACATGCATGGATCTTGGTGTACTCTAAACCCAATGGACACATCAACTTCTTCGCATAGTAAGTCGACTTAGGAATGTCATTTCCTTCTGGAAACATATCAGAGAAGGTTTCCAACAACAAAGTGAAACTAGTGTTGGTCCACCCGCTCTTCGCTTTCAAGTTATATAAAGTTAAAATCCCAGAATGCTTGGAATACTTAGAACAACCAGGATACAACGGTGTCTCAGCTGCTTTCGACACATTCTCATATATATGAGAATCTTCATTAACATGATCGCCTAACCCATCTATCGTCTCTTTTATCCTGTCTTCCTTCATGGCATCATTAAAACCCACTTCATTATCATGAAAACCATTCACCTCTCTCTCATCAGCTTCATTGTCGTTAATAGAAGAATTATCCGCGAGAGGAAATTTTTCACCATGCCAATACCAAATACTGTAGTCTGGCATAAACCCACGAATAATCAAATGGTCCTCTTTTTTCTTAATGTCTTCCCACCTCTTCACATTCTTACAATCACGACAAGGGCAGAAAATAGGTCTTGCTTTGGTTAACCTTTGTTCAACGAGTGTACTCCATTGGTGTTGCACTGCGATTCTACAGAACTCATTGACCCCGGCTAAGTATTCTGGTGTGGTTCGAGAACCATTATACATCCAACGACAGTCCATTTCTAAAAATGTATGATTAAAACCCAAGAAACAAATTATATTCAACATCACAAATCAACACATTCAAAATGCATGATTCCAAAGGTCCTTATCGCTCCAACCTAACCCATCCTTGGAAGTGTATTCTCACTAGCAAATGGTTGACCATTTTTCGGCCCTAAGGAAATTTCGGCAGCATTTCCATATGGTTCTCAAATTACACGATGTAATTAATTTCTTAATTACATATGTACCCTGAGAACACATTAGGGAATGCTAACACAAAATTACCTTTACTTCCAAAAAACAAGCAACCATTTACATCCTATGTGAGAATACAATTCCAAGAACAGTCCCAAACGGGGACTATTCAAGATTTACTCCTAATGAGTAAATCTTGAACGGGTATCTAGGCATATGAAGATATAATGCATAATAAATATTAACACATTCAAGATCAATCATGTCAAATAAAAGTAACCAAACACATAAACATGAGTTATTTACCTAACAAAGAAAATTTGATATTTGATGCAAATAAATTATGCGCATACAATAAAATAGACCAACCATAAAACTATACAGTAAAAGTATCTATATAAAGTACAACATACTTCAAAATTTCCAAATGCGAGAAAAATATTCACCTCTACCTCTAATTCTTAGGAATTCGTCACATAAATATCAAGCAGTTATAGCTCTCATCTTTGGTACATCAATCCAACAGCAAAAAAAGGAGAAAAATTGCCCGAAGCCTCAAAATTTTTTGTAAGAAAATAATCCCAAGCCGTTCGCAGGCTTTCATTTACCATACAATGAGAAAATTATTTTCTACAAAAGAAGCATTTTTTTTATAATTCAACTAGAATGAAAAAAAGGAGACAAGTAACCTAAATCCCTTTCATTAAACTATGGCTATCTACAAACTCATTATATCCTCAAATCTTTACGATGATATAATCATATAGCAGATGCTAAAATCCCAACAGATTTTACTCCGTAAGAAACAATAATTCTGTTCCTAAGCATTACCCAGCTAGCCATAAACAACATCAATTCGATGGCGATCATTGCAAGATCACAATAAAACCCAATTGAACCTCAAATACGAGAATCCAAAGACAGATATAATCATTGCAACGTCACAATAAAACCCAGGTGATCCTCAAATACAGCTCACAACATTCATCACCAGCTATATTATATAATAAACAGAAAATTTCATCAACTTGATAATTTCAATAATCAACAACCTTAAACAAATTAACCCTTTCTTTATTCATTATTATATAATAATTCACAAACAAATATATAAAATTAAGAATTCCAACTTTCCCACTTCACAATATCAACTCGGCTCCCCACTTCTAAAATCAACATCAATTATCCAAAAATCCACTCAAATTCATAACAAACAAAATAAAAAACTCAAGCTCAAATTCAAATTCAAAAAAGAAAAAAAAATACCTGGATTCTTGAGTTTCGAGAAGAGAGCTTGCAAAGGAGACTGGAGAAAACGACCGGAGAAAACCACCTGAGAAAACGAATGGAGAAAACCACCGAAGCAAACGGCGGAAATTGCGAGGAGCAAACGACCGAAGCTCGCAAGGGAGAAAGGGATGGAGAAGGGACGAAGAAAAACAGGCGACCACCGGAGCTTGCAAGGAGAAAGGGAGAAGAGTTGAGGCCCGACGACGGAGAAACAGAGGACTGGTGACGTAGAAAGAGAGGATCGGCGAAGGAGCTTGCAAGAAGATGAGATTACGCTTCAGTAATGGGGAACATATCGAGTATGAGGGAGGGAAAATGAAAAAAGGGGATTGAAAAGTTTTTAGGTTTAGAAAAGTTTTGAGGGTTATTAATTTTGAACATTTAATCGTAACGGACATTTTAAGTCAGTTACAAATAAGTTGGTCAATCTCGTGTTGAGTTTACTCTTTGTAACGGACATAAAATGTTCGTTACAAATAACTTAGTATTTGTAACTGTCAGTAATTGCCCATTACAAATAAAAATTTATTCGTAACGGGCATAAAGGTGTCTGTTACGAATAAGTATTTATTTGTAACGGACACCTTACCGCCCATTACAAATACTCATTTTTTACGCGGATTGAAATTTTTTTGTAACGGACCTTACTATTGCCCGTTACGAATGATGTTATTGTAACGGGAAACAACATGCCCATTACGATTAAGCCGTTACAAATAGACTTTTTTCCACTAGTGTAAGGGTATTAGCCCTGATTTTTGTATGCACAGGATACATTTAGAGGATAACTATAAGCCCTGCATTCAACCCCAAAGAAGATTGAATCCTAACATGCAGGAAGTAGTCAAGAAAGAGGTTATGAAATTATGATGCAGGTATTATCTATCCTATTTCTGACTCCAAGTGGGTAAGTCCTGTGTAGGTAGTGCCAAAAAAAGGTGGGATGACTGTGATCACTAATGGAAAAAATGAATTAATTCCCACTAGAACTGTAACAGGGTGGTGTATATGTATTGATTATCGTAGACTAAATATCGCGACTAAAAAGGACCACTTCCCCCTCCCCTTTATAGATCAAATGCTTGAGAGGTTAGCTAACCATAAGTTCTTTTGCTATTTGGATGGGTATTCGGGATTTTTCCGAATTCCGATTCACCCTGAAGATCAGGAAAAGACAACCTTTACATGCCCTTATGGCACTTTTGCATATCGTAGAATGCCCTTTGGTTTATGTAATGCTCCCGCTACCTTTCAACGTTGTATGATGAGCATCTTTTCTGATTTCAAAGAGTCTATAATGGAAGTCTTTATGGATGATTTTAGCATGTATGGTTCTTCATTTGATTCTAAACTGGGAGAAATGTCACTTTATGGTGACAAAGGGAGTAGTTCTAAGTCACATTGTATCTGACAAGGGCATACAATTAGACAAAGCTAAGATTTCAGTGATTTAGCAATTACCTACCCCAGTTAACGTTAAGGGAGTTAGAAGTTTCTTGGGTCATACAGGGTTTATCGTCGCTTTATCAAAGATTTTTCTAAAATTGCTGAACCACTAACTCACCTTTTGCTCAAGGATGCCCCTTTTATTTTTAATGATGAGTGTCTTAAGTCTTTTAACAGGATTAAGCAGGCTTTGAAATCGGCACCCATCATATGTGCTCCCGATTGGAATCTCCTTTTCGAGATCATGTGTGATGCAAGTGACTTTGCACTAGGAGTCGTGCTTGGACAAAGAAAGGACAAGTTTTGCATGATATTTATTATGCAAGAAAAACTTTGGATGAAGCCCAAGTTAATTACGCCACTACGGAGAAGGAATTTCTTGCTGTTATATATGCTTTAGAAAAATTTAGATCATATCTTGTTGGTTCTAAAGTCATTGTTTTTACTAACCATGCAGCGTTGAAGTACTTGATAGCTCAGGCGGAATCAAAGTCAAGGCTAAACAAATCTTTATTAATGGGTAAATTTGGTTGTTGGTTTTGAGGTTTGACTTTCGTTGACTTTCTCTCTTCTCTCTCTTCTCCATGGTTAGTAGATTTTGATCGGTTTCATCACCAATCTTGATCTTCGATGGCTAAGAAGAAGAAGCAGAACAATTCTACACCTCAATTAGTACAGCATAGGAGTTCTACTGATACACTTTTGCAGAAGTTGCGAAACTCAGGTACTACTTTTGTTCCAAGCCCGATTCAGGAGGTAGATGAGCTTGTCACTCTGGCGTCGGCTCTGGTCAATCCGTCTTGTGGTTCTATTCCCCGGAGTGATGCTGAAACTATTGTACTATTTGCTAAAGCCATTTCTAAACCATCATCTTCGATTTCTAATAAAACAGTACCTAGGGTTTCTAGGTTTACTGTTCCATTGGATGCTGGAGTTGCTGCTCATCGATCTGAACCAGCTGTTCCTGATTCTCACTCTGTAACCCCCCCAGAACAGAACTTGCACAAGGATGGTGAAGATCGAAGCTTATTCTCTGGGAAGTTGGCTGCTAAGGGAGCTCCCCTGTTCTTTGTTGCCTTGGTGGTTCAGAATGGGAAGCAGGTAGCTCAGCTTTAGGATTCTGAACTTTTGGAAGGTAATAATAAATGGTCTAATGCTTTAGTTTTCTATGTTGTTGGTCATTATCCTACTATTGCTGCTGTTCATCGTTTTCTAGCTCAACAATGTCATGATGTGAAAAAACTAGACATTTTTTAGCATGACGATGGGTATTTTATCATTAATTGTTGCTTAGTTAGTGATAAGGATACTATTCTTTGCTCTGGTCCGCATATGTTCATGGGAAAACCAGCAATCATTAAACCTTGGAGTCCTAAATTTGATTTTGGTGCTGAGATTTTGAGAACTGTTCCATTATGGGTTAAGTTCCGAAACTTACCTTTAAATTGCTGGGGTCCTGAAACTCTTAGTCGTATAGGTAGTTTGCTTGGTATACCAATTTAATCTGATGAATGTACTACAAGACAACTAAGAGTTTCCTTTGCTAGAGTTATAATAGAAATTGATGTTAACAAGCCATTGCCTAAATCTGTATTTATGGAAAGCCCCTCGAAGGAAACTCTAGAACTTAAGGTAGTCTATGAATGGACTCCTCCCTTTTGCTCTAAGTGCAATAAAGTGGTCCATGATTGTTCTGTCAAAGTTCCAACAGCTCCTAAGCATTCAGTGACTGCAGCTCCCAAGCAGTTAGTGACTGCAGCTCCTAAAGTGCAGCATGTCTGGGTTGCTAAGCCTAGTCAAGCTCCTGCTCCTGTTGTTGATGTTGATGCTTCTGCTCATAGGAAATCTGTTATCACTCCACAGGTTCATACTTCTCAAAACTCAGATGAGGGGTGGAGAATAGTTGGAAGGAAGATAAAAAGTCAGCAAACTAGGGTTAATCAGCCTGCTTCTACCTCTAATGCTTTTGTTGCTTTAATTGCAAATGAAATGGATGGTGCAGGTGGTTTCACTATAAATCCAAGCGGGGGTGAGGTTAATCCCCCTTTGTGTCATGATTTGCTCTATCTGGAATGTCAGGGGCCTAAATGACCCTGGCAAAGTTTCCTCTGTAAAGAGGTTGCTTCATTCTCATTCAGTTGATGTTATTGGCCTAATTGTCACAAAAGTCAAATAAAAAAAAATGTTTTCACTTACCAAAAGAAGTTTGGCTCTTCTTGGCTTTGGGTGTCCAATTATGATCATTCTCCTAAAGGAAGGATTTGGCTTGGTTGGAATGCAGATAGAGTAACTGTCAATGTCTTAAAGATTCATGACCAATTTATACATTGTAGTGTCCTTTCTAAGGATCTTTCTACTCAAATTCATCTCACTGTTATCTATGGGCTTCATTCTATTCATGATAGGCTTCCTATATGGGAAGGGATTAGGAACATCTCTATTCAGCATTCTCCATGGCTCTGTGCTGGTGATTTTAACTCTATTCTTCATACTTCAGACAGGCTTCATGGTACTAATGTCACTGATTATGAGACTAGAGATTTCCAGAGTTTAGTTGATGATTTGGACCTCACTGAGGTCAAGAGCAAAGGAGCTTTTTACTCTTGGTCAAATAAGGCTCACACTGGTCCTAGAACTCTATCTAGGATTGATAGAGTCTTTGGTAACCAAGCTTGGCTGGCCTCTCATGGGCATGTTGAGACTGTCTATATCCCCCCTTCTTTATCTGATCACAGTCCAGTTCTTTTGGATATTTGTCTTGCTCTTGCTGGGAAAGGTAGACCTTTCAGGTTTCTAAATTGTATTGCTGATCATCCTGATTTCCTTAATACTGTTTCTCAGGCTTGGTGTTCTGGTGGTTCTGTCTGGCAGAAGCTTAATTATGTGAAGTCTAGTATCAAGTCTCTTAATAGCAAGCAGTTTGGCAACATTGCTGAGAAGATTGATCAAGCAAATGTTGAGCTTGCTGGAATTCAGAACTTAATGGCTCAGAATCCTGATGATTTGGATTTAAATGTTAAAGAATCTGATGGTATTAAGGTTGTCAAACACTGGAATGATATTCAAGAAAGCATCTTCAAACAAAAGTCTAAGATCAACTGGATTAGGCTTAGAGATGGCAATTCCCATTATTTTTTCTCAGTGATTAAGAATAGACAAGCAAGGAACAGAATTGACTCCATCTTTGACTCTAACCAGGTTTTGCTTAAGGATCCGTATGCTATTTCTCATGAGATTATCTCTTTCTATAAGTCTCTTTGAGGGACTCAGGATCCTTGGCCTCCTGCTGTTGATCTTGTTACTATGAGGAGAGGTAAATAACTTAGCTCTGTTGCTTAGAGCTATCTCATTCAGCCTGTCTCTCACGTTGAAATTAATGCTGCTCTTAAGGGAATTGATAGCACTAAAGCTCCTAGTATTGATGGCTTTAACTCCTTTTCTTTAAGAGAGCTTGGCATATTGTGAAAGATGATATTTATGCTAGTGTTATTGATTTCTTTACTAAAGGGACCTTGCCTAAGCAATGGAACTGCACAACTATCACTCTTGTTCCTAAAATCCCTAATGCTTCCCATGTTAAGGATTTTAGACCTATAGCTTGTTGCACTGTGGTTTATAAGCTCATTTCTAAGGTCATAACTTCTAGACTTGCTATTATCATTGGTGAGGTCATTGATGATGCTAAAGCATGTTTCATTCCAGGAAAGCACATTGGTGACAATATCCTTCTTGCAACCGAGTTGATCAAAAGCTATGATCACAAATTTATTTCACCTAGATGCATGGTTAAGGTAAATATGAAGAAAGCCTATGATTCAGTTGAGTGGGGATTCTTGATTACTATTTTGAAGGAGCTTGGTTTTCCTCAGAGATTTATTAATTGGATCTGGACCTGGCTTACTTCTGTCTCTTATTCTATTCTTATCAATGGTTTCCCTGCCCCTCCCTTTGAAGCTAAGAAAGGTTTAAGAC